ATGGAATTTTGTTTTTACTATACCTTCCATAAATACTTCAGTATAAAAAGGAAAAACAGAACACCCACATATTTAGTTTCATTTGAATAGAGTGGGCAGATAATGCAGTTGTGAAATTGCCACATTTTCTTAACTGGAGAAAAAAGGATTAATGTGGAATTTTATATGCCGTGTTTATGAGAACATGTAAATGAATAGCCTGTGTTTCAACAGCGCACAGCAAAGGAAATGATCAAAAATAGAAACCTTTTCTTGTCTAATGCTTGATTTTGTTCTTTAAATCCAAAAGGCATTTGTGGCTAATGAAATTGTAATTATACCGGGGGTTTAGCTGCTTTTTACTTTTCATATAATCTTAGATTGTGCTTTATATTTTTCACCTGGGGACGGACAAAGTGTTGTGTCTTTCAGTGAAAAGTCATTGGCTACCATTGACCTCAGCGGGTAATGTCAGGAGCAAGAACCAGATGAGTCAGTGAGAGCCGTAGTCTGTAGATGGCTCCTCTCTGTAATCTCAAGAGCACAGTCCCACTCAGCAGTCTTCTTCCCTCACGTGAGGTTTGGATCAAGCAACACTGCTGCTGTAAGTAGCTCAAAGCAATTAATCAGCTCCGGGAACTGTGGCCACAAGGAAAAGCAGGTTTTTGCTTTCACTCGTGTCTGTGGACCATTACACGATGGGTGGCCAGACTTTCCAAACCAATGCCCAGAGTAGGAACAGTGGAAATGCTGTCCTGCAGATGAGACATTAAACTGAGGTCAGGACTGCTCGGTCAGTAAAGAACCCATGGCACAGTTCTCAAGAGTGGGGTGCTCTGCCCAGTGCCTCAGCTAACCAACAGTGTGGGCTGATATGAACTGACAATCTGACCGCCTGAAAATAAACTGTACCCGCTGTACTGTGTGTTAAGCTCTGGGATCATGTGTTTTCTTGCTAGGAAGGATGCTGCTTATATTATTATTATTATTATTATTATTATTATTATTATTATTATTATTATCTCTCTTAAAAGCCATGCAAACCTTGAAATTCAAAGAGAAACGCACTGCACTGCATTCATAGACCAATTTGAAAAAGAAAGGGTAAACTACAGATACATAATCTTAGACTGAAATGAATGTAATCTCTTACAAGAACGGTAGCGCATTTTCCTGTAGCCAGTAATTGCATGTGGTTTAATCAGTTAGCTGCAAAGAAGGACTCTTTCAGGGGCAAAGCACACATCTGATTAAGCACCTTGCCATACTGTTGTGAACACCGCCTTCAATCTATTTCACTAGCAGAGCCCTGAGCAGTGACATCCCAGACTTTCTCTGACTCATCTTTCCAAAACCCAAAGAAAAGAAGGAACAAAAAAAGACATTTAGATTATCTTGTATGCCATGGTGCAGCTAGTGTATGTGTTTACATAAGAGGTGTAGGATCCGAAATTGTGTACTAAAAGAAAGTGAGGAAATCATAGTTTCAAGTAATTATAATTGCGATTTGCCTCATTTGGTATGTACTGTAACAGGTAGTACTGGAAATGTCCTGTAATTTCTTCCCTACATCAAGGACCATAACATTTTTCCTTTTATTTAAATTTTATTTTTTTAATCATTTTATTAATGATTTTATCAATAGGTTATTTTCTTTGTCAGGCAATTATAGTCGGTAATAAAATGCTTTTTTCATCATTTGATTTCCTGGATATACTGTACCTAAGCCTTTCCTGTCCTTACTTATGGAGCTTGCGTAATTTTAGCAAAAAAGTAAAAAAAGTGACGAAGAGAGATCAGAATGCAGATTTCTTTGAGGACCAGTTTCACGAACTTACTGTATGCACATGTGGTATGTCCGGTGTGTGTACAGTCAGTATGCATTGTTTGCGTTGTGGAAGTGTGAGGAGATTGTTCTTTATAGCACACTGCAAAATTCATTATGTGCTTATCGGCTGTAGGGCTTAAATTTAACACCACTGTCTAGAGATCACGTCCTTGTGTTCAAGGAGGACAGACCAAGATCATCTACTGTATCTAATGGCCTGTTTCTGTTCAGTCTGGGTTTGAGCAGTGAAGGCTCTCAATGATGCATTTATCTCCACAGTGGCACTGACAGTCCCAGTGCATGTCTCTCATGCTGCTCAGCTAGTTGTAAGCTTAACAAATCCCGGTATCTCTTCAGCTTTCATATCAGAAATGAAGCTGCTTGCTTGATTATATTTCTTGAAAAAAATAAAACACTACTGGAGTGAGAGGTGAATCTCCTTGATGAGCAGCTCGCAGTCATTCTGAAATCAAGCGGGAGCCATATTCTGACGTGTTGATTCTACTCCCTGGGGAAGAGCTCAGTGATTAATCACTGGGGGTTTAGAGGGAAATGTTCTAATCAGAGAAGGATGCAGATGAAGACAAATGTCTCCAGGTGTCTGGCAGGCTATGATCAATCTGAGTTAGCTGTACACATAAAACTTTCAAATATGCAAAGTTACCATTTCTACTTAATTGTCCCCCTGGGCCCTGTAGGCCTGAGTCAGAGGCTGCAGCTAAAATGTACCCTGGAAGCACACTTTTCAGTCTTGACCATCCTGTCTTGAGGATTAATTGGTATTAGAATTATGATTCTTGCTGTTGGGGTTTGATTAAAGGAATACGGTATGTTGTTTTTACCTTTCTGGAGAAAAATATCTGCACTTAGAGCAGATCAGGACCCAAGGGAACAGTATGTGAAACTGCATTAGGATAAATCTGAGGCATATTAACTAAAGGTCACCAGCCAGAGGCAGTAACTACTTTGGTGTGATTCTTGTGGTCAGGAGATCTGACACTTGTTTCTACATTTCTTGCCTATGAGCCTTTCTAGCATCTTCAGCATTGTCTCTGCTATAGGAAATGGGTGGAATGGTTTACTATTAAACTTCTAGGATGAATAGTTACCTACTTTGCAGATCGTTATAACAATGTATTATAAAAAACAAATCTCCTGTTGATTTAATATTCAACATTATGAGGTGTGATGTTTATTTTTAATAAAGTATGAGTCTGTTTCTAAGTTTGTATCCCATGTAATCCGTGCTGTCTTTAACAATCCTGAGACTGGGGCTTTAGCATTCCTTTTGTTTGCTTGACAAATTGTCACCTGATCTCGCTAACTAGACTCCTGTGTCCATTTTCAGGCCTACTTTTTTGCTTGTATCTATTTCGCTTTTGCAAGTGTGCTTTACTTCATATAGCCATAGCAGAAAATGTATGTATTTACCAATTCTATGTAAATAAATAATAATGTATCTATAGAGATTGTGGAGAAGAAAGAAAGGAATATCTTCTGACATTTGACCCCTCCAAAGAAGAGATCCCAGTGATTGCACCTCTGTTCTTCACTAGAGAAGAAAGACAGCAGATTCAGGCCAGGCGCATGTAAATGTTATTCCACCAACAGGTATATTTAAAGTTCAGACTGACTACAAGGTGTTTGAAAAAAAAAAACATACACAAAAACATATCTCTGAATATACAAAAACAGAGTTCTGAATTGTTTTCTGTATATAACTACATCAAAGGGGACAGAATTGGTTGTAAGCCCTGAATTCGGTTTGGTACACGTAACCTCGTTTCTTCAAGCAACTTTTTACGATGGTTGTGTATAGAAAATTAAGTAACATCTCCACGTGGAACCTGCAGTAAATTAAGACCAAGGGGACAAGAGCATTAGGAGTTATAGAAAGATCTTCATTATATGGTTTCCTTAGCTGAGAGAGGTACTGTACAGCAGGACTTAGAGTACTGGTGGCAGTGCTCAATCCTCATGAGGTATCGGAAACAGCAGCCTACTCTGGGTGGTTCAGTACAGTTCTTGAAATGTGCAGGCCATGTCAGGCATGTGTGGGGGGAAAAGAGTGTCTATTGTGTATTTGCTTTAAATATCTTCGCTGCATTTGAACTTTTTATGAATTATGAATAAAAAAATAGGTGAAGTACTGAAATGGAATCGGCTTTAATTTTTGAAAACGGAGCAGATAAAGTTAACCGATCTTAGTGAAGTGTTCCTCTCTTTGTTGTAGTACAGTAAAGTGACAACCCACTTGTAGTTGAACTCCGTGGTGTGTAAGTACAGCAACGTGTCTGGCAGAGAAAGGAGGGAGGATTGGGGTTGGGCTGGAATATCCGCTGCGTCTTTTTCAATTCCTCAAATTCTTTTCTGTTTCAATCCTGTATTTTTGCACTGCAGTCCAGATTGCAGGTTTTCAAGTTCCTGTCTGATCAAGCAGCTGTCCGGAGTAATCTGAGACAAAATAGCATCTTAAGAACAATCTTAACAATCATAACTGCTCCTCGGGTGGGCCACTTGGCTGCAGCAGCTTAATTTTAAGTCCTCAACCTTGGGATGTAAATGAGAGAGTTTGGTGAGGCTCCTCACAGATCCACTCACTGACCTTATAAGTGAAGCAGATATTTCATTCTGCTGATGTCTCCTGTGCATTGCTGACCTATACCCAGGCGTCACACTCTATTGGAGAGCTTGATGAGCTCTGAAGAGAGGAATTATGAATAACCTGAATGTTAATGCAGATGTCTTGACACAACTGGAAACAAAATCCATCATAGCAAGCCCCATCTCTTTCTCAATTGGCAGCTGTCAATAATTTAGCACCAGCGATCACGGACTGCTCTGCAGTTTGCAGAGTCCGCCCGCTGACCACGGACACTCTGGGATTCTGACATGGCTGATCTCTCCATCAGGCTCAGTGCAGTCAGCCATGAAGGAGTACTTGTGTGAGTGAAAAAAGTTTCCTTTTCAAGGTTAACTTTGATTGTCTGGGAGGTTCCACTTCTGCTAAATAATTGACATCTTGAGCTATTGGACAACCTGAGTGTGCTGAATTTGTTGTAGGGATATATTTCTGCTAGGTACAGGCTTTTCTGTTTTGTTTTGAAAGCACAGGGCTGAGACATCAGAGGCTATGTAAGAAGCACCGCATCCTAAAAAAGAGAAACTCATCACAGAAACTTCTGTTTTTCAGTAAAATGAAGCTGTATGTACAGACATACAGTGAAAAAAGAATAACCAAGAATGTGATTGGGTATATCCGTGGACAGTACGAACCAGGTGAGTGTGCTTCTGGTGTTGATTCAAGAAAGTTTTAACTATACACAGGACACACAGCTGCAATATTCAAAACATCTAAAAATATAAAAAAAAATATTTGTATTTAGTCAGAATCTAAATATCAAATGTTATTTTCTGAAAATACACATCAGGATAAGCTTCCTTCACTGGAAGGAAAAGTGTTCACTAGGGGGCGTGTACATCATTAGCTACTGTTGTACTGGAGCATCACATTATTTCATAAAACATGTATCTGTGTATGATTTAACCACAGTCCACAGCAGTGGGATGGGAAGACAGAGCTGATGAGAGGGGAGGAGCCAAATGAAAGCTCTGAAAGAGTACTTAGTATTGCGGTTGTCTGTGTTGGCAGATCGTTATGTCCTCATTGGAAACCATCGTGACGCTTGGGTTTTTGGGGCTGTTGACCCTTCCAGCGGCACCTCGGCCATGATGGAGCTCGCCAGGGCTTTTGGGAACCTCCTGAAAGAAGGTAGGGGTGGAGGGAATGGCTGGAGCGCTGAGGTTGTGGTGTTGTACGATTGTTGTTCCATGTTCCTTCAGCGCACTCTACAACAGAGCTGAAAGGATCGGGCTGTGTAGATCCATTCACTGAAGCAAAATATTTCATTTGTTGATGTCTGCTCCATTCTGTTGATGTCTCCTGTGATGTCTCATGTCTCCCGAACATTTAAATTGGACTTACAGAAGCCTAGCACACTTAACAATCATGAGGAAACTTACTAACAGGGAGCAGATGATAAACAGAGAAAGGCAGGTGAGATGGTGATGGAGGAAACGGAATGCGCTTGACTGGGTTCTTGAGTAACGATCATGAAAAGTAAAAACAACTCTTAGAATGAATAGCCTTTTGTTAAATGAGTGGCCTTATGTGACGCAAAAAAGGTGTACAGTTCTCAGGCGGCTGCATCTGCTTTCGAATTCTGAGAATTGTTGGTGAGACCGTGGACTTACTGAAGTTCTCCCGTTCTGCAGATCGAGTAAACAGATCCGTTCATCTTTAGATATACTTCCTCCACTTTAATTTATCTTAGACGGGAGGTATTCTAAAATGTCCAGGTTGAAGCTGGAGCCTGAGGTCTGAAAACCAGCTGACGACACTCGGATTGGGCAAGTGGATTGGAGTGGAGTGGAGCCCCTCCATGGTATGCAAATTAAGGGCAGGAGTTTGCAGCCTGACTCACCTACGGCACCTCACCTCGGTGAGCCTGCATGCCCTGCTTGTTCTCACACCTTCTGTGTCCTGCACCGATGAGATTCGGCCCAGCCCAGCACTCACTTCGCACCCAGAGACCCGCAGGCTCGATGGACAGGTCATCAGACAGATTTTCTCTTGGACGTCACACCAGATTCTGCCCAAGACGGCATCGAAAACCAGAGAAGTTTTGCAACAAGATGCCCTCTATGTTTTAGCCCGACCTCCAAAATTAAACAGCGGGACTTGAGCAGACGGAACTTCATATCAAGGCATTCTCAGTGGGAACAGATGGGAAGTATTGGAGAACGGACTTTCTGAGAGTCTCGCCAGCCACGTCCCAGCCGGCTGCTGGCCCCCAGGTCCTGGGACCTCGCCACGGAGTGCTGAGCAGAGCTCTACCTTCTCCCCGGGCCCCCCAGCCCAGCGCCAAGCACACACCCGCTGCACCAGCGTCACCCTGGACCCGGCTGTCCCTCCGTCCAGCCGTTAGGAAGCGTCTCCGGGCCCAGCGTGTTAACCCCTGTGAGCGCAGAGCGTCCGAACACTCGAGAGCTCAGCTATGACTCCAGCCCGGCACGTGTCTGAAAATGTGTTACTTCATGACAGTGCTCTTCACGTTTGTGATTCCTGATTGTTTTGAGGACGGTTTTTACAAGGTTGACTAACATTTCAGTTTTATAGGCAGCATACAGTATTATTTTGTCTCGGGTGAATTGGCCTTTTTTATGATTGTGGTAAAATCCTGTATTCTTTGAATCCATGTGTGAACGTTGCCAATTGTTCTGTTTCATTGATTCCTAGCAGCAATAGAAGTGCTTTGTGAATTTACTGATCGAATTACTAATTATCTAAGGAAATTCAAACCATTGAATCACTACATGTCTCACAAGTATTTGGAAATCATGGGTTGTCCGTTTATTTCCATGAAGATTTGCTTCATTTCAGTTTGCTAATGTCTTTGTTTGCCCTTCCAAAGGTGCTGAGGTATTTTCCTGTGTTTAAAACCTTTATGTGCAGCAGAAAAAGTAGAGAATCTCTTGGCAGTTGTGCTGTGGGCTGTGGAGAGTAGGGAGAAAGCATTCCCTCTCACAGGATATTAAACTGACTCACAGCCTGATTGTTTAACTGCATTATGGTTTAATTTATTTTTTTCTTAATTTAAGCTCTAGTAAGAGTGTCTTGCAATAAAAGTTTGACCTTTGAAAAAATACCATCTCTTAATGGATTTATATAATGTACAATGATACTGCTTCTGTAGCTTCATTAGACACAGTCTTGTTTCTTTCTTGAACTTACTGAAATTGCATGGTTCCTCTGGTGGGGAAATATACTGTATGCAATTGTTCCAGTGCAGTTTGAGATCATGCTCTTTAGCAAATAATGGCAAATCTAATTTTGCTTCACACATAGCTAGTTTTAAAATGAATATAAAGAAAGATGTGTTTTTTAGCATCTGAATAACGCAGGTGTATAATGAAATGATCTGACAATAGATACTGAGTTTCTGGGTATTGCCAGACAGCTGCAAATTGAAATATCCATTATGCTAATTTACAATGATTGTGGAGTTTCAAATAAAGCCAAGTGTAATTAAGAGAAGTTACAGTGACTCATTAAATCAAATGGGTCAGTGTCTTTTCTGGTGGTTAAAAAAATACTTATTTTTTAATTTAAATAATACCTATACCAAAAAAGCATACAGAGAAAAAAAATGTTTACAATCAGTATCTCAGTTATATTTTATAATAATAATTGCTTACACTTATATAGCGCTTTTTCTGCACACTCCACTCAAAGCGCTTTACAGGTAATGGGGATCCCCTCCATCACCACCAGTGTGCAGCCCAACCTGGATGATGCGACGGCAGCCATAATGCGCCAGAACTCTCCCCACACATCAGCTATCAGTGGGGAGGAGAGCAGAGTGATGAAGCCAAAGCATAGATAGGGATTATTAGGCCATGATTGGTAAGGGCCAATAGGAAAGTTCAAGAGGATGCTGGGGTAACACCCCTACTCTTTTCAAGAAATGCCCTGGGATTTTTAATGACCACAAAAATCAAAAAGAGTCAAAAATTTCAAAGTAAAAAATGTGACTTTTGCCTAATAACAAGCATTTGAATTAATTCAGTGTACCAGATTAAGCTTCCCATTTTATTGCCAGTGGATTTTTATATGAATTATTTAAATTTATCTTCAGTAACCAAAAAACTGTATACTTTACATTTTACTCTGAATAAAACAGACATTTACCTATTTTAATGTTTTGAACATCCTTCCTGAGAAACGATACCCATTATAAAATAAACCTTGGTTTAAAATGTCTGGGATGAATTTTTAGATGCATTCTGAAGGATATTGGAGATGTATGATTAAAATTACATAAGAAGCTCAGCCTAATGTGTTGCACTGTTATTTTACCCTTGTTTTCCTGATCTTGCAGTTAAAAACTGTCCCTTTGCTTAAACTAGCACAGCTCAGAGAAAATCATTGACAACTGTGTAACAAAATATTTCAAAGACACGCCTTCACCTTCGCTGTGATATGGAAAAAAAATATTTTATTTTTTATGAGTATTAATGTATCTCTGGACTGGTGAAAATATACAAAATACTGCTGCTAACAAAGACTGAAATAAAAATAAATTGCTTTCCTGTGCAATATTAAAAAAAAACATGGTGGGAAAGGTTACTAAAAATCTTGTAAATAACTTAGTCGTTGAATATTTTTCACAGTTAATCAAATTAGTTGTGTTGATACTGTCCGTGATTTTAGAGGCTCAGTTAAAAATCGCTGTCATTCGTTGAAACCCTTTTTTGAGTCATGTCAAAATACATTTTTAAAAATAGGCACCCATTGCAAACATGGTGATTGGAAAATAGATTTCTGTGTTTTTAAAATATGTAGCTTAACTTTAACTTTCTCATTAAACTAATGCTAGCGATATAAGGACAGTCTGTTCTGGTGTGAAATGAGGGCTCGTTGTCTATTTGTGTTCTCAGCTACATGCTCTGACCTTTGTATAAGCCCTGGGCATATAAGATAAGATCACTTTATTAGCCATATACAATTTCTTGCATTAGGATTTGTCTTTTCATGTACCCCAACTTGCTCTCCATGAGACACACAGGCAGGGAGAGAGAAGCTTGGGGTCAGAGCACAGGGTCAGCCATTTATATGGCACCCCTGGAGTAGCTGGGGTTAAGGGCCTTGCTCAGGGGCCCATCAGAGAAGGATTCCTCTGCCGGCCGTGGGATTTGAACCGGCAACCTTCCAGCCACAAGCGCATATCCTTAGCCACAGTGCTACTGCTCCACCCCAGTGTCCATTGTGTTAAGTGGATAACTGAGCATGTCACCCCTCCTGGTGGGGCTTCAGTCCTTTCCAGGTCCTACCCCAGCAGTGCTGGACCCTGTGTACACAGCTGAGGGAAAGATCACTGAAGGTGCAGCAGCAGGTGTATGCAGAGCCAGCACACAGTGAATGTGAATTCGTACCTCTGTCGTGTGTGTGGAGGTACATCTGTTAATATTCCATCTGTACACCGGGACTTCAAAAGGTTCAGGTACAGCCGGATGAAATAATGTATGAATTTCAGTTCTGAGCAGTTTCCTACTCTCAAAGATGAGTGGGAACATTTGCCTCTTCTTTTTATTGCCTTTTTCAAAACGTCTCTTGTTGAAACCTGCAACACCATCAGAAGTGAAGTGCTGAATGCTCTTCCTTTGTTTCAGGCCTCTGTCCTAAATACTTAATCGAACAGCCAATTATTTGGTTTTTGGTTTCAGGTTGGAGACCTCGGCGATCCATCATGTTCTGCAACTGGGGAGCCGAAGAACATGGTCTGATTGGGTCGACTGAATGGGTTGAGGTCAGGAGAGCACTGGTTGTTGTTTGCATTAAGTGTTGCAGGTTTTGCCTACCACTGCCGCTTGGAAGAGTTCTGTAATGTTTTGGCTCCTTTTTATTCTGAAGGTATTCCACAGATTTAATGGTTTCCCATCCAGGATCTACCTTGCCTTGCACCCACTGCTTGTCAAGAGAGGGCTATAGAGGTGAAACCCTGAATTGGATTAAGAACTTAGAAAATGGATGGACAAAAACCCACATTTATTTCTCTGCATATATCAAACAAATCTTTTGAATGTAAGCTTGACTGTGAGGCAAAAAAACATCAACTTTCTGCTGCTAGAGAAAACTAGGTCAAAGAAAAAATCGCTGATTGAATGTGAAGAGCGCACAAGGGACACTGTGCTTTCTTATCAGCTTTTTAACATGGGAGCTGTAGAACCTTGTCCGTTTGAAAGTGCCTTAAAAATAATGTGAAGTATGTCTGGCATGCAAATGTGGTGTCGGAGAAGACTGGCCAACCTGCATAGCCCACTGTTTTGGAGACTTGGCTTGTAGCTGCTTTCCACCTGTCTTACTCTTGTGAGCTCAGTGGGCAACACCCTGTACGTTAGGTACAGTATGAACAAGGTGCAAACTTCTGAAGAAAAAGGTGGTAGTGTCTCATGACAACTCTGGTGTGATAAAAGAGGTCTAAGGTGAACGTATAATAACCAGCGATGAGAACTGTACATATACTGTACAGATAGTTCAGGAACTCAACTTCTGTATCACTGCTCGATCTCATTGACTCACACGGCTCGTTCAGTTACAATTAAAAATAATACTGACAAATGATGTGTCCATTGTTATATGTACTTTTCATGAATTTTTAGCGAAACAAGCTAATGCACACCATTCTCACATTTGACCATATCATGCAAAAAGTTCCAGACAGCACTATTGTAATGTACAATATGAGGATCGACAAATTTTGTCTTTGATGCGGTGTCTTTCATTTTCAGCTTTCAAATTCCTGCTTTTCTTTCACAAATAAGGCCTCACCCAGTGGGCTTCATTCCGACATTGAGTTTCAAGTCTTTATGCATGACTCATATCAATAAACCATAGTAACAATTAGTGTGTAATGTCTAGACTATAATAGTATAAGCCTCAAGCAGTGTCAGCCCTTTGCCAGCTGCTAAAGAAATGATGGACTCGCCTTACTGTCAGCTCGCTAGCTTCTAATGGCAGCTTACATATTGTTAATAGACTTCCTAATGTTCCAAATGACTATATATAGGATTAATGGCTTCGTCCTGTAACGTTTTATCCATTCTAAATTGTACTGTATATTTTATCAAATGTACCAAGAACCACTATTAAAGAATGCAATAAAAAAGATCTAGTCCTAGAAAAGATTCTGAAGACCTGGCTCCACACTACGCTGTCAGACATGTGAGGCACCAAGCCCGTGTGTCTCACCGCACCCGTCTACTAGAGACTCTGTGGCCACTGGCGTCTTCAAATCTAACCCCACCTAACCTCCCGCTTTACTAGGTCGCCTCGCTCTGCTTTGCTTTTTTACATCGGCCGTTTGCATTGGGATGGCGTAGCTCTCTGCGTGAGACTGAGGGCTCGCACTGGGCTGGGGGTTCAGGCCCCTCCTGTAGGACGCAGCTGGTGGAAATCAGCTGGTGTTCCAGGCAGGGGCAGAGGCGTGTTCTCTCAATCCAAGTCGTGCTATAGTAACCAGAGTGAGGTCTGGCCTGATCTGAACCACTGTACTCTAGTATGGGATTGGCCTTAATGTGTATTTACAAGTGTGCTACAATGTTTCTTGAACAGGGCATATAATTAATACTGCATTTTTATAAAAACAAGATTTCACAGAGAAGTGATGCAAGCAGAGGCATGTGAGTATATCAGCTTGTTAGCAGCTTATTGCTATATTCTCTACAGCTCTTCTTAATATATCTTTTCTCTTTTCTTTTCAGGAACTTATCAAAACTCTCGGAAATCGAGCTGTAGCTTACTTAAATGTTGACATTGCGGTTGAAGGTAACTGATTTGCTAATGAGAGTGCCTGTTTTTGAAAAGATTGTGATTTGGAAAGGTTATCCTGAGTCACAGCTTTCTAATAGTTCAATCAAGTTTTCTTTTTTTTTTTCTTCACAAAATCCTCAAGGAAATGCAACATTGATTGCAGCAGCTACCCCGAACCTCTACAAGCTGCTGTGCGAGTCTGCAAAGAAGGTAAATTGCATGCTCTGCTATATTTTAGTTTGGAGATTTGGGAACTGTCCGTATCCAATCTACAAACACACAATACTTGTAGCTCACCACTTCACTTAAAAGCCCTGCAGTGCACTGAAGGCCAGGCGATGTTGACTGATTTCATGTTTCAGTCCTTTTTTTTTCTTCCATTATATGTGACGGTATTAATTTATGTTTATTTGCCTCAGGTAGAAAATCCAAACCCAGAAGAGGTGGCACGAGGCCGGAAGACAGTGTTCGATACATGGCTGGCAAATAGCCCATCTCATTATGATCCAGCACTCCCTCAGTATGTATCTGTTAGTTCTGCTCTCATTAGCAGCAGTCTAAGGTTTTAATTGTTCTGGAATCATGAAAGTAAATAGGGCTTTGCAATTATGAGACACTGAGAGATGCTAGTGGGAGTGGGGGATGGCACTCAGCAGAGAGTGTTCCTCCAGGAAGGTTTGTTCTTGCTGCTGCAGAACAATGTTTTTCTTCTTTATCGTCTTCTCCCATACTGTTATCTCGCAGGTTATGCTAATCTCTTGTTCCCAGCAATTCAGTCTTGCTGCAGCTCTGAACTGTGCATGCGCCCGTCCATTTTCACAGAGCTGTGTATGTTAGGTGAGGGTTGTGGCCACCTGGAGCTCGTCCCGGGTGCACAGGGCTCCAGGCCAGATTGCACCCTGGACAGGTTGCCAGTCCATAGCAGGGCACGCACACAAGCACACAGGGGCGAGCTGAAGGTACCAGCCAGCATCTCTTTGGGAGATGGAAGGAAATAGAAACTCCTGGAGAAAACCCACATGGATTTGGAAAGGACATGCAGGCTCCACATAGACATTTCTCTAGCCAGAATTGAACCAGAGCCCAAGAGCTACGAGGCAGCAGCAGCACCAACAGCCAGACCTCCATGCCTCCCCTGTCTGCTTATGTGCTGCCAAATTCTAACAGCACACCAAAGCCCAGCTAGCAATTAAATCTTGGCAGGCATTATCCAAATTTAATTTGTACATTATTCACCCTTTCACTGTACCTGGTTCAGATGAATCGATATTGATGTGTTTTAACCCCACCTGGATTTGAAGGGGTGAAGAGAAAAATTCTCTCTTTGTGTGAAGAGCATTTCTGCTAAGTAACAGAAACTGTATGTATGTAAAAAAAAAGGCAAGTGCTTTCTAGTGCTTCATATTTGTTGTCATTTGAAAGTATGTACACAGCATATTATTGGCAGTACGCTGGTAATCCTCTGTGAGTACTTACAGCATACATTTTAGTTTAAAGGAAAAATAACTTCAAACACAACAGGTTATTTTTATGAAAGACTAACGGCTTACATCACCCACCCTGTGATGGTCAGGGGCTTAAGAATTATTTGCACAAAAGGTAACATTGCATTGTGCACAGCAGTATTCCCACTGAGATCCAATTGAGATTGAGACACAGTTTTCATCTGCTTAACAAAGATAATGGTGTCTGTTTGATTGCTTTACCGTACAGCAACTAGTAATCCTCTGATGTATTGCCGATGGGTTTAAGGGCCTGGATGGTATTGTGTAAACAGCATTTTTTTAAGCCTTATAAGTTATGTATCAGTACTAACCACACAACCTAAAAAACATGACAGCATTAACTGAGATTCAAAGAGCCATGAGCACTGCAAGAGTTAGAATTATCATCCCCTGTGGAGCTTTAAATTTGATTGTCCATGACAAGAATAAGGATTATTATTAATGAGGACTATTGTATTGCAATCTAAAAACCACAGAGGATGTTGAAGTTGCCTTTGAACCACATAGACCCATTCTAATTGATGATAGGTAATAAATTATTGTTAGCACTTGATGTCAGGAAGCGGCAGGTACTTTTTCATTATTCACGATCAGGTAGGCCATCTGGACAGTGTGAAAACCAGAGAGTCGTTCTAGTCATCCAAAACATGTAGAGGTGTTTTGAAGTGCAAACCGTAGATAGGTTTATATAATCCCAAATGAAAAATGTAAGGATATCATATAACCAGGAACTCCAGCTACAATGTATTTATTTATTGTTCAGTAAGACTCCTGTGCACAGTGGTTCTTTGATGAAATGTCTGATATAAACGCATCTGCAGATACAGTCTGAAATTTAAAATCTTTTTCACTTCTTTTTAACATTTGCATTGATGCTTTTGATAAAATAAAATAAGAACCAATAAAAGAGGAGTTCGTTTTTGGATTATAAAGAGGAATTCGTTTTTTTGGTGTTATTATTATTATTATTATATTTTAGACATATTAGACATTGTGAGACATTAACCTGAGATCAGGAATGCTTGGTAATTGGAGAACCCACAGCACAAACTGATACAAACTGGACACTTTTGGCTGAGAAGGATGGTGCTGCGGCCTCGGTTTCCAGTTTAAACCACACCTGGCCACCCTGCCCACCCTGGAGGAGCAGCCTGAATTCCAGACATGGCCAGCTCCATTCCTGACACCGTCACACACTGCAGTCTGTGACCATGAACGAAACGCTGTTTGGATTCACGTGAGCTGTGGGAGGACACTGTAGATGAAGGTCAAAGGACATCAGTTCAGCTCCCTGCCTGTTCACCAGGAGCAGCAGAAATGGATAACAAAAAACGGAGGCAACAGAATAGATTACACAACATAATTAGATAATTAAATAGTTAAGACGTACTATTAATCGGTTTAACTGTGGGACAATAAGGATCTAAATAACTTTCTTGGGCTTGACACTAGATATGTTCCTATACATGTTCAAACTGTTAGAGAAATTGAACAGTGCCTTTCAAGCCAGAACCATCTGGAAAACGTGATGGTAAACTCCAAAAACGTAAGCAATAAGCAAAGTGTCAGTTTTAATGTACTGGGGTTCAAAAAGTGTTTAAAATGTTTTTAACACTATAATGCACCATTTTCCTTCAGATAAATGTTAATCTCTTGTGAACGGCTTGTGGCTTAGTTGGATTTATCTTGCCTGTGCTTATTTATACTTCTAGGAAGAGTTGAAGCTTGTAATATTGCCATCACAATCACATTTAGGCTGTGCTTTTAACATATTTTCGTTAAGGCTTCAATTTATATACTGCAAAACCAGCTTAATTAATGGTTGGTTGGTGTTGGATAAGCCAGATTTTCCAAAAATAAGAGCCCAGTTCCTAACAGGAAAATATTAGATATTACACTTAGGTACTGTATGTTTGAAGAAAAGGTCTGTCGCACATTCGTCACATCTGTACAATATGTGTGCACTGACAGACTCCTCTGGAACAAGATTATTCATTTGTGCATTTTCCTTCTTTGTGTCAGTGAAAAACAGAATAGGTCCAAAGGGTATGTTTTCTGTACTGTTTCCTCAGTCTTACAGAGCTCTCAAACTATCCTTAGTAATCTTCAAAGAAAAGGTTCAGATGTGGCTGTCTTGTGATGTGTCTGGGTACTGGATAGATACCTTAACTAACTGATATATTTCTAATATAGAAAAACCCTTTTTACATCGTTTGAAACAAACTCTCCATTGGTTCCTATTTAGTGTAGCACCTAAGTGTTTTGAATAAAAGCTCCCTTGTGTTTAAAAAGTATTTCCAAATTGGTGGAGTATTTAGGTACGCAAATGGAAACAACCATACATAAACACATTATTTTTCACACTTCTCAATATGAAACATAACTGTATATCTATTCCAATGGCTTTGTTTCTTTTTTTAGGATTGACTCAATTGGATCTGGAAGTGACTACACGGCTTTTCTCCAAATAGCGGGCATTCCATGTACAGATATCAGATACACCTACAGCCAGGTATGCCTCCTTAAATAGGGTTTTTTTTTCAGCATCTGCTAATGGTCCTGGTAACACAGTATGTGTCAACAGAGTGACGGTTTAATAAACTCCAGTGTAAACGCACTGTGATAAACAGATCTTGATATTGTTTTCTTCACGTTTTCTATAATTTAACCCTCCGCACACTCAAATTACTGAGGGTTACACGCTCGAACAGAAGGCTGCCAGAAAACCAACAAACATTGAATAAAGTTTCCAAAAACATTCCACGTGCCGTCAGCTGATCTGCTGAGGCTGAATTGTGTAAAAGTCTCCAAAGGGCAATGGTGAAGCACCAGGAGGCAGGAAAGGAAGCGCAACTGACAGCAAAGCAGTGTGAGGGCCAACAAGAAGCATAAGAAAGTTTGCAAACATTCTGTCTCTTGGCCCATTTAGTGTTTGTTTCGTATTAGCTGATGAATCTGAGGACATCTGTCGTATTCAACAAAATGTTTGGGAAACTTGTTTCCTACCCCCACAATTCTTTGTGTAAAGCAGCATGCTTCCTGTTCTCAGTTTTAAATGCACTTCCTCCTCCGTCTGTGTCCTTTAATTGTTTCTGAATAATTGCATGGGGTTTCACTGACGTTATCAATAACTTTAGGGATCTGAATGTTTTTGAGTTACAGTAGATCCTCTTGTGAACTCCTCTGTTCAAGACTACAAAGATGGCTTCTTTTAGCCCATCAGTGTAGGGCATTTTTTTTAAATTGAGGAATTTACCTGGTTGTTCATCTGGACTGATTTCAGAGCAGCAGTATCTTTTTCACATTGTGGTTACCAAAAGTACAGTGTACAATATACAGTTATACAGTATTCTAAATGAGGTCCTACTGCTACACTGTATACAGTAATCTCAATATAACAATCCTTTAAATTCTTTCAATTTAAATTCTGTGTCATTTAACTATATCTACTGTACTAGTATTCTGGTTTTGTATTGCTTGCCCATATTTGTTAATTATTATTCATTATTTAGCTTTAAGCATTTTCGTCTAAAGCAACTAAGATTTATAGCTATTTACAGTGTGTAACTGAGCAGCATATTTAGGGTCCCAGGACAGGGCAGAGCAGCTCTCAGACAGGGTTTGCAAGATGGCACAGGCAATGAACTGATATGGAAGTAAGAGAACGAAGAGAAAACAAGCTGTAACCAGTTCCTGCAATGTTCCAGCACAACGCCAGGAAGACTTTCCAAGCTTTTAGCACTGCTTAAAGCATTTGCTTCAGAAACTCTCATTCTGAACACACAGCAAAACAAAACACCCCCAAATGAAGTAATGAAGTGAAAGATGTATTTTGTCTTCCATGCCTGTATTCTCTTTACAGATGCTCAAGATTCAGACTTTACAATTAAATTCAGACTAAGATTGATGACTATTTATCTGGAGCAAAAAGCTTCTGGGAGTGGCCTTGTCACCTCAATCAATAACACAGTGAGAGTTTACTCAGAAGTACACGGGGAGCTTTTTATTGGTTATCAAGAATTCCCCAGATGGGATAAAACATCTTCAATCAAAGCTGTTTTATCAAGTAAAGTGCTTAAAAGTTGACGATGTGGGTGGATCAGGGGGAGAAGCTGCCACGGAGGATCTTGGGTTCTAAATTTAACACTCACTTGGTAACTTTAAAGGCATCCGTCATTAGCTATTATCACGTTCCTGGGGTGTGCTGCGTGGTACTGTCAGCACACCGATGAAGCTCATAATTAGGCATTAAAGTATTCCTTTATGGCCAAGTCACCCTGGCTTCTGCTGGGTTTTGCACACAGCTACCGTTTTCAGGAGTTTTTAAGGAGAGGACAGCAGTAGGCTACTAGCGACTAAGCAAACTACGGCTCCTCTCATATACCCTTTCTTATCTGGTTGTTGTCTATTTTCCTGAAGCACTGCAAGCATGCATGTGTCACTACCACGGATGAGTCCCAAATTCGGACCCCGAGCCTGTGGTGAGGAAATGCTGCGGGTTATATTTAAGTCTGATAGAGGTTCATGTCTCCAGCTTTTACTATGTGTTCATTCACAGTGTGTCTTTCTGGTAAGGCGATATTGCTTTTCACGAGATCACTGTGGTAACCAGCACTCTTCCAGACATTTCCAGTATTTAGTCATTAGCTATTTTCCACTTCCTTCTTGAGGCCCTAAAAAATAATGAAAAGTATTGGTTTTCAATACACCTTATAAAGGACAGGTGATGTGCTCACGTCAGACTGCAGACTGGCTTCTCTTCATCTGCCGCATTTCCTTTGTGGTTTTCATTCATGATTTCCTCTTATTGCATTGATTTGATTCTCTGGTACCTAATTCAAGGAAAACAAAGCATAAGTGTCCAACGAAAGCGCTAAAGACGCAAATGAAAAGACTCAGAATGTTCAGGCTGTTCCTCTGTCAATCGATACAATAACGGAAGAGTTAAAATAGTGAAGTAAGTCAAGGACACCCGCATTGTGCTTTTGAGTTGCTCTGAGTCACCATTCCTTTTGAAGTAATTCAGAAAGATTTCGATTGGTGTATCAAAAAGACTCCTTCATCCTGTCAAGAATTTGAGATGGATTTGTTTCAAGACTACCATTTCCTTAAAATATACGTATTTATATTTATAATTATAATATAATTATTTTGAGTCTTTTTACAGTCGTTTTCCCCTGGCTTCTTTGTTATCTGGCAAAATATTTTTACAGAAACAATCTACTGCCATTAAAAATTCTCCCAAGACATCTACAGTAGATGTCTGATGTCTAGCAATTATTTTTTTTTAAAAGCACAATAATCACATCAGAGTTTTTGTAGTAGCTTAATTTTACACAGTCGTTTAAAACGTTGACTTTCTGAGTGATGTGTAAATGTTTATGTATGGTTATATACAGTAGTTATTTATAAAAGTTATACTGTAAATAAAGCATGGAGTACAAAAAACACAAATTACATTTAAAGTACAGCATTGCAGAACTGTATAATGCAAATTACTTCAGCTTCTTTATATTTCATTCGTTACATTTAGTATAATACTGTACCTGTTTAATGAGCAATAACGTTTTGTTTACAGTTCAAACTGTATGATATACTTTCACCGACAAAACATGTTGGAAGGTAAAGTACTGGTTGGTAAATATTTTCGGAATTGCTCTTGTGCCTCATTCAGAAAATGCAGACAGCCCCCAATAATGTGATTGTAAAGAAAAGTATTTATTGATATTTTGCTACAGTATAGCCAGATTGGTTTGAGAGATGATCTCTTGGCCACATGGGTGAAGATGTTGAAACAGCCTTATGATAAACTAAAGGGTCACTGCCTTCTATCAATCCTTGATATTATAGGACTCTTCATCACAGCTTGTTTTCTTTGACATTATTGTGTTGTTTTGTGATCTTGGGTTACTGATTATCTTTTGTTACTCATGTCTGTTTTTGCATCGTTTTTTCTTTTGCACTGCTGTGCATTAAATTTCCAAAATATCCTCACAATTCATTTCCTTTTCATTATGTTCAAGGAAGACTAACAATAATTTATTCCCAAACCTTTCAGAGTTTGAATAAATGAGAGCTAAAAATGTAATAAAATTTAGTAAGCTGTCGTCATTTTAGGCAACATTAATTTGTGGTATTTACTTTGTGTTCAGTTAAATGGTCTGTAGTTGAATTTAAAGATGTGGACAAAATAGAACGCAAAAGTAACTCTGGAAAAAAATGAGTGAGAAAAAATGAGTGGTTTCTATTACAATTAAGATATTTGGGGAATCATTTTTTGTTCCTCAGACGATTCTTTGTGTGTTTAGAGTCTGTAGTATAAATTGACCTTACAGTATGTCCTTTGAGATCAATTCTTTTAGTTTTTTGTGAATTCCATGTGTTTTTCAAAGGAAAAACGTGTACCCAGTTATTTTGGCATGTTGATTAAATGGTTTGAGTTTATAGCAACTTAATTGTGCACTATAACCTGATTAAAGTGAAAATTGAATGTCTTTTCTGTTTATAGTAAATAACTAAATGCATCCTGTTTGATGATAACTGCTTATACAGTATGTGTCTCTGTTGCTGTGCAAGACACAGACAGTTAAGTCCACCCAAGAGGAATAAAAGTGGCTCGTTTATCTCAAACACATCATTACCAGTTTTAAGGGCAAATAGATTAATGTATTAATATATTAATGAGGCTTATCTGCAGAAATAGATTAAAATAAAAAAGAGATGTGGCTCTGATTGATGCATCTCTTAATTTTACTTCCTAAAGTGTTCCAGTTGATCTCGTATTTTTAGCTTTGCAAATCATAATGTTAACATAATTATAAGTGAGGTTAAAGAGTTTGCATATATCTCATCCTGTGTGATTGGATGGTTTTATAAACTGGATTGCTCTGGGTGGCCTGAGCATAATGACGTTAATTGTGATTGAATGTGCACTGGGATATTTTGAGATAAGTGAAAAATGCCTGCTCTGTGCACAGGTTTAAGGACCCATTTCCTGTTTTCCAGAACATTGAACAGGATACTAGTTACCTATGAGGTCACACTGGTTCACATTTCTTGTACTTCATCTGGCCAGTGTATCGTCATTTGGCTATTTGGCCTTTATGGGACAAGAATCTCTTCTGTTTTGATTATCAAGGTGTTTCAAGGTAGTGTGACATTAATACAATTCCTTACCGAGCTGAAAATTGAAAGTCCTCCTGGAAAGGCTTCGTGAAGAGCTGAATGGCTTTCTCTGGCTTGTAACCCTCAATATATTCAGTTAATATTGGTAAACACTATGGTATTTGCTAGTTCATTACATGAGTCATGCCACTGCAATAGAGTCCAGAATAATTACATCAGCATGGTTCTTCACCAATTTGAAAAGCTTTTTTTCTTCTGAAGGTGGATCAAGGACAGGTCTTTTGTATCTTAGTGCCTAATTCATCACCAGGGCAAGGCAGCTGTGCTGTGATTGATACTTTTGAATCCCACCTGGGTTTTTTGGGCTTTATATTAATTAAAACTTGGTGATACTGTTTAAGGAGTGCTGGGGTCCAGAGTTACAAAGTCAAACTGTTAAGCAGGAACCAGCAAGAATGATGTGACAGCTTGCCATTCTGCAGGCGGTAGGGCATTGACTTTGTGCAACAGAAGGCAGTGTGAACCCCAGTCCTGTCTATAAGAATTAGATATGAGCTTCTTCTAGCATGTCTCTGACAGCTTATGGTCCCTCATGAGTTATGAGAAGGAGTGGGTAAAAATAAATTAAAATGTGATTTGTCATTTTTCTGAACTGAACTTAACTCCCTTTTTTCAGGGAGACTTACAATATAGTAAATTTACATGACAAACTGTATAAATACGAAGATCGATGTTGCAGGTACAGTAAGGTAGACATACATCTATAAAATAATACTCACTCAAACTAGAAGGTCTGGGATTGCCCTACACAAGAATGAAGATATAACAACATACAGGCAGTGCAGTACAAGGCACCATCCAACATCCTGCTGGTAAGATTACACAGAGGAAGTGCGGTTACTGGATTTTGTTAAGAGTTACAACAACGGATTGCTTTAATCATGGCTTTTTTTTGTGTTTTGCTCTTAGAGGTTTAATAAGGAAATGCTTGTGCATTTATAAACACCAGAAAATTAAACCCTCATAAAACAAAATGATCCTTAAACCCACAGTAGACCAGACTCTCCCCTTCCCTCCACCTGCTCTGTCTTCTGATCTCTTGGGCTCCACATTCCCGCCACTTTCCTCTCTCTCCTCACACCCGAAGAAGGCTCAATGGCCAAAGCTCCATATTTATTCTTTCTGCTTTTCAGTGTGGAATTAACCATTTCTTGTTCCTGCAATATTTCTGTAGAATAATATTCTTCTAAACATTGCCCGTCCCCTTTCTGTGTGACAGGCTTACAAGATTTCCTCTTACCCGTTGTACCATTCTGCCTACGAGACCTTTGGCCTGGTGAGCGGACTAATGGACAAAGGCTTCAAGTACCACCAGGCAGTGGCTCGGCTGTGGGGAGTGATGGCCAAGACCCTGGCAGACAAAGTACTCCTCGACCTCGATTGCACCCAGTATGCCAGCAAACTGGAAAGAATTGTGAGGGACATAAAGGCCAACTACGGGGCACTGTTAGAGAAGAACGATGTTACCCTTGGTAAGTGAAGATGGGTCTAGACATCCCCTGAATCCTTAACTCATGCTTTTGGGATTGGAATTGCAGCCAGCATTACAGGCTAACTCTAGATAAATGAAGTAGCGACTCCCATTAACCTTCAGAAATGCTGGCTGCAGCTGGTTCCCTGCATAATAAACATTTTATGGCCTTACGTTCAATATGTTGTTCACTGATGTGGACTGGAATGTACAAGGTTCTAATTTGTTTGCATTTCCTGCAAATGAGCAGGACTATTTGTTGTTTTTTTAGAAATGTACAATACACTGTATATTTTTCCCTGTTAAGTGAGTCTAAAGATCTAATATGGAACTTAGAGCTGGTTTCTTGCAGGGTTGTGTGACAATGCTGGAAATGCTTCTTTCAGACCCCCTCTGGGATCCTAGATCCTGGGGATGATCACACAGCCCTGGGTCTTTTCAGTTGCTCCTCATCTGGTTCTGTTCCTACAAGTGAATATCTTCTTATCAAGCCCTTCACTCAATCACTCAGTCCTCATAAATCACTGGGAACTAGAGTTCACCCAGCTTCTAATACTCTGAAATCTGTCTTGGCCTACAGGCACTGGAGAATTTAAGATCATTTAAATCTTTGAAACCAATTGGCAATATTCACAAAAAATGGTCACTTACTCAGACAGTTGTGTGTTGAACTCAGTTTAACCCTTATCATCCAGTTCTCCATCTGTACATTAATAAGCACTATAACTCTTCAGCAAGCACCAGATCACTAGCAAACTCTAATTCCCACCCCATCCCATCTTCCAGCTGATCCTGTTTGGGCAGGGACATGATCTTAATAACCTGTGTCTCAGACGGTCTGTTTGAAGTTCTGTCTGATCACATTCTAAGGTCACCCACCTGTCATCTAGAGTCCCATCTCTGATGCGTATCAGAGGAGAGTGCCGTGCTGCACCGACCAGCAATACCTAACCCCACCAGGTCCTAACCTTCCATCAAGGAGGTTAGGCATGCAGAGCATGCAAGGCAGGGTACACCCTAGACGGGAGGCCAGTCCATCTCAGGGCTAACATAGGCATACACTCACTCATCCAGCTTCTTTCCCTCGTTTAGAATTTCACTCCATCTGGGCACAAATTACCCATTCAGAGCAGCTGTGTCTCATTCAACAGGTTCTTTCAATGAGCTGTCGTCCATCCTGACAGGATGAGCAAAAAAGTCTTGTTTCACCAACAAAATTGGCTGATTACATTGTTAACAACCAAACTTCAGTACTTAGGCTGGTCACTAAGTAGAAACAGAGGAACCAGTGTTAGTGATTTATTAAAAAAAAACATTGTTCATTTGCAAATGTATTATAAATAAAAACACCAGCAAATATATACAGTAAGTAGCATCCATGAGAGAAAACTGTCAAATTAACATATAGGTGTTACTATAGAGAAGAGCGAACCAGTAATGTTAAAATGTTAGAAGCACAATAAGAATTTATTTAAATACACTAAAATAAAACTGTATGCTTATGATCTGATGACAGACTTTATATAATATTTTCTGTGATATGCACATTTAACTATATTTATGTACATTCTTTATAGACTGCCGTGCAGTATCTCTCCTGTTTTGTAATTATTAAGAACACCTACTGTATAAATTATAGAAGATTTAGGTGATTTATTTCGTTAAGCAAACTCTAGCCTGGGGAAGCTGATTTTTATTCCAAATGATTTCCACATTCCTTAATTTAATGGATTGCCTGTCTAACTGACCCAGATCTTTAGAAAAGAGAGATTTATTTTTTATCTGTAGACTCACATTATCAACTGTAAACTATATATTCCCTAAAGTGGAGGTCAGCAGTTTTGAGTGTCGGAGACTTTTTTGGTCACTTAGCACCTAACCAAATACATGTCCCTGCAGCATCTTCACAATTGAAAATGGTATTAAATAAAAAATTACAAAGTAATCCTAGCAGGAGTAGGATCATAGACATCCTGAAGCACGCTTGTTTATTAAAAATGAAAAGTGTGGAAACTGCAAGCAAACTGTGTTTTGTTTCCTGCTATGAGATTATGTTTGGTTCTTTCACTTTTGTTACTTAGAAATTAAATTACATACTGTACTGTATAAACGCACTTGGAGTTGTTTTAAACATTGTAACACTGTGATGAATGCAGCTGAAAGGAAGACAGAATTCATATTTGTGTTTATGCACCCTGGCACTATGTAGCTGAAAGTGTTGAAATGAATGTTGAGGCGATGGCACGGGTATTCCTCTCTGCTATTGATTTCCCACAGGTGTCACTGCCTCCTCTTCATGGGCACTGGGCACCAGCTGGCAGTTACTCATTCATATTTTTGCCTCATTCATTCTACACACTTCAGGATTGCTATGATTCTCAACCCTTCTTCTGTCAGCTCGACAAATATTTGGGATGGGAAAATATAAGGTCTTTATTTCCTCAACTTTTGAGCAGTGAAGTGTCAGCTGACATCTGCAGTTATTTCCTCTGCTAGAATCCCATTTCCAAGAGAGGAGTAAAAGGGTTAACTCAGAATTTGCATTCTGTTTTCTAAAGCCTTCAGCAGCACTCACTGGGCTTGGGTTTGCTCATGACAGGACTCGCCGCAGAACTTCACAGGATTCTGGGACAAGTACACCTCCACGAGTACACAAGTGCCACTTTAGTTCTCCATAGCAAGTAAATCACAAGATCAAGCATGGTCCTGCCGTTGCAAGTTATGTTCACAGCCTTAATTCATCCATCCATCTATCCATTTTCTAACTGTTTTATACAGTACAGGATCGCGGAGAAGCCGGGGCCTATCCCAGAAAAGCAACAGGCGCAAGGCAGGATTCACCCTGGACAGGATGCTAGTGCATTGCAGGGCACACACAGACACAAACACGCACACACTCACGCCAGAGCCAGTTCTCCCAGAAGCCAATTAGCCTCCCAGTATGTCTTTGGACTGTGGGAGGAAACCCATGTGAACATGGGGAGAACATACAGTACATACTCCCTTCAGATAGCAGCCCAGGATTCGAACCCAGGCTAAATACCAATGGAGCACCCCCAAGGCTCGAGGTCCAGAGCGATTGCAACGGCTGGCCTCATGAGCGCTGGCTGTGGTTGCGGTCAGCCATCTGTGTCTGCTAGCTATATTCCAGAAATAGGGCTGCTTTTTTGCAGCCAGCGGGGTACCTTTGGAGAAGTCAGATGTGCAGTGTTGATGTGATTAATTTGATCTGCTGCTACCTGTAGTTAGCTCTGCTGCAGCTTTCTGTCCAGTCTGTCCTCTGACTCTTTTGCCCCGCTGCTCTGATATTGCGGACGAAGAACACATTTTGTTTAGAGTGACCATAAATACTACACAGAATATTTACTGATGTGTTATTGACCATCACTGCCATTCAAACCATGACTATTAAATTAAAAACATTGCAATATTAATGTACTCCAGACATATTGAAAATAGACTCCAGTTACGAAAACACAGTAACTTAAATGTAAAACGTTGGTAAAATGTTTTTAAAAACTGATATAGACAGATGTTTGCACATTTATTTTTTTGTTCATTCAAGCCAGGTTCAAGCAGTTCATCATCTTCATTTTATCCATTCTGCAGTTTATCCTTGACTGCAACAATTACATGACCTTCATTTTTGTTCTAAAAATAAACGTGTTTCTGACTGACACCTGTTGAATCAGACATTAAGAGACTCAACCAGACCTGCTGGTGTCAGAGATAAGAGTTTGCAACAGGACGGAATTTCGTGGCACAGGGAAAACTCTTCCTCTTCAGTAATTTTCTATTTTTGTTCTGCATTCTGAGTCAAATTTCAGAGTATGTTCTGTGGCTACAAATGATATAAAAGGTTGTTTGATCGGTAGTGGAAGTGATAAGGAGAAATTACAATTAAGTTTTATTAGAAGGGGTTACTTAATTTTTATTGTGTTTGACTGATTAATCACGTGCCAGTCCTGATCCCTGCCTGGCAGTTTCAGTTTCACAGCCACACAGTGCTGCTATCGACAGTGGAGAAGTCCTCTGTGCCAGAAAACTGCGAGAGGAATTAATATTATCCAGGCCCCTAGGAGTTCACCTCACTGTAATGGGCTCAACCATTGAAATGCTCAGAGTGTTGTCGAAACCAAGTCAGAAATCTTGTTCTCGTATATGTCACTTTCCTGGTGTGGGCAAAATATGGCGTATCGAAGTCAGTATAATTTGAAGTACATTTCATGAGTGGTACTCCAAATTATATGAAAAGGTGTTGGGGAAAGATGACATTTTCATATAATAAATGGAAATTTAATTTTTTAAGAAGTAATTGTTTGTCTTTCTTTAGCCACAAATGGTATGAACTGGATTAGTTTTTAAAACATACTTTCTATGTCATTTGATTTCTTCATACAATTAAATCCTGTGCACTGAGCTTTAGAGATGTGGTATAGTTACTCCAGCACGTGGCCTTGGTACCCCACTGCTACCCCTCCCATCTGCTTGTGAAGCAAAGTGGAAACATGAACAGCAGATTTAGAGAACAAGATGTTTCTGATACATCTGTCTTTTTTCCATGTGTGTGTGTTGTGTTCCACTGGTCACACTGACATCTTCTGATCTGATTAAAATATGTGTGTTCTCTACACAGATGGACTGGTGAAAGCAGTTGATGAATTTAAAAAGGCTGCAGGAGATCTGCAAACAATGACTGAGACTGTTGACGTGACCAAGTAAGTGATGGGCCTTTTTTAATGACTGTGTGGTTGTTGGGAAACTCATAGAAGGCCCAGAAGGCTCTTTAGGCTGCTGTTTTTGTTCCCTGCAAATTTCACATTCGATGTCAATGTCTAAACCTGTGTGAACCTGAAATAACAAAATCCTTGTCTGGTTATGAATGTTACTGAGAAAGCTCAATCCCAAAACATCGAGTACATGGCCATGATTTCCAAATGAGACCCTAGTTTCGTTCATTGATGCCGGGCTCCTGTTGTGTTTTCCACTCTGTTTCCAAATTCATAAAGTTTAGCGGCTACAGCAGATCTAACTATGGCTCATACAGAGGTGAGTTCAGATTTCACAGTTTAATTTTTCCTATTTTGCTAGTACTTTGTATCTAAATATGCATGACTATCATGATAATTCATTGCTCATTCATATCACGATGTGTACATCACGATGTGTACGTTTTTAATCATCTTTCATACGTGTCTTCAATGCTGTAACTCAGGTACTGTATGTGAAAGGCTTACTCACTGTACAGTTTCTGTACAAAGCAGTTTTGTTAATGATTGTGGCTATATAAATGCTGGAGGACAGTGATGTGCTGTAAATTGAAAAAGCTCTTATTCAGCTTTTGACCATGACCTTAACAATTAGAGTCTTAGCAAGAACAGAGAGAGTGCAATTCTTGAATTCTGTCATGGAAAATTCACCAAAATAGACTACAGAGAAGCAGTGGTTTCTTTTCTAGTGAAATATTGCCTTTTATGGCTTCTGCCTGAAGGCTGAAGCTAATTGGAGGGTATTTTAGATTGCTCCTTTCTTTTGGCGTGGGGATAACAATTAAAACATCACAGAAACTGTGACAATGTGTTAATGTCAAGGTTGCATTCTCTCCTTCTGCCTTGGGTTTCAGTCTAAGCCAGTGGTGTCAGCTTTGAGTCCTTGCTACTTGAGTAACTGTTCTTGTTCCTTCAGTGCGGTACTTTACCCCCGTGGCTCCAGCGCCCCCGGCTGTGTAAGGGGGGATCAGCACTGCTGGGGGTACCCCTGTGTATCATCCAGGGGGACTCACCTGCTTTCTATTCCGCAGAATGAACTCTGGCTCAGTGAGTTGCTGCAGCTCTGGTTAGAAGCTTTACAAAGCTTCATAAAGTTGAACATTTTATGTTATTTCACAGTGTCAGTTTTTAGAAACTGGGAAAGAATTTAAAAAAATGTAAAAAGTAAATATTTTTCTTTAAATGTTTCCTGTGGTCAGTGATGCAAGACGCATTGAGCAGATCGATCCATCACGTTGTGCTGAAGCTTGGGCTTCGTTAGTGAATAAGAGTTGTAAAATGTAAAATATTATTTTGTGTTTTGATTAAAATGATTTCTAGTTGTAACATCAGTTGTTTTTTGTTGTTTGACAAGATTCCAAGCTTTATTTCCTATTCTGGGAGTTGTATTACTGCTCCCAGCTGTACAGCACTTCTTATTGCAGCATCCTGGGAAGATTCTAGCAGTGCAGAGTAGCAATTAGGTTTCCACACTCATAACGGGACGTTTGCGGTTTCAAAAACCAGCTGGAGCACCTGCTGTTGTACCCTTGAGCAAGGTACTTCACTCACAATTGCTTCAGCAAATTCCCTGCTGTATTAACGGGTCTCCAGGTCAATATTGGAAATTAGTATTTGTTCTAAATTGACTAATCTGGTTACATAAAAGCAATACATTCCCATTCAGGGATTCAGGAAATCTGAGTCAGGTACGAAGATTCTCTGTTTTTCTGCAAACAATTTGTTGATTGAGAAATGAACAGTCAGTATCTTAAAAGGTAAAGATTTGTCAAATAAAACTAAGTCACAAGACACATAAAACACACAAACTAATATTTCCAGACTACTATGTACTGTTGGAGAAAGTTCCAGAACACAATAAATTTGTAGAAAGATGGATTTCTTGAAATAAATCATCCTCCATAAATAATCGTGGTCCCTACAAAAGAATACAGTAGAAGTACAAGCAATAGTGACAAACTTTGCCTGGTAGGTTTACAAAAGGAAATTAAATATTTCCACAAATGCGAATCATGCAGTTCCTTTCTCTAAATTTAAGCCCCTATAGAATCCTTTCAGTGCCTAATAGACAGGACTGTCTGTCAGTTTGGAACCCTGCCACCCCAGCACCTGACCTCTTGTCTCTGCCTCACCTCTGCAGTCTACCATTGAAGTATAGTGTTGATCACATGACCTCGGGCTGGACAGATCTAAAAAGGTCCAGTCTCAGATGTCATCAGACACCTGGTGATTCTATTCAGTTGTTGACTGCATATCTGAGCAGGGAACTCTGAGCTGCAAACACCTCAACACCTCAACGGCTTCTGTCCAGCAGGTCAAATGACAAAACCACTCTCCAAGACAAGGGAGAACGGCAGAAATCTGTCCAACACGTAATGAAACAACAAAAGGATTTCTAATATTTGTTTTAAACAAATGGTCAGCTACTGTTAAATGTTTTACTGTTGTACTTAAGCACTGAACTGCAGCTGTCAATCCAAAAGACGCTCAATGAATGCAGTTATTTGATTAAATATTGTGTTACTGGGCTTCATTTTCCTGAACAACAGAACAAATAAAAAAACATTCTTTAAGACTGTCACCCAGCACACCATTTATACAACTACTGTATGTGCAATACTAGAAAAAAGCACTGGATTTTACTTTTCATCTGAAATATTGTTTACTAGATTGATAATTACTAAAAATAATTGCACATTTAAATGTTTTTTTTTTCAGTTTTCTTCCTGGTTACTACACACTGAAAAATTTCAGGCCACATTGCTGTATTTCTGATTTTTCATAAGCTCACATGTTGGGGGAAACTGCCTAATAGTGGAGCATGCAGAAAAGTTTGTGCTTGATTGCATGGGTCCAACCCTGTATTTGCTTTTACCGTTCTATCCCTGTTTGCCTTTAGACCTTTTTTGCTGTTGTTGTTGCTCCTGTTTTGGAAAAAGGAGCTGTGAAGATCTCTCCAGCTATGCATACTCTGTCTTAATGAGAGCCTCCCACAGCTTGCCTTCTGTTCCTGAAACAAATGTGAAAGGTTATACCCAGGCCTTCTGTCTGGGAATACATTATTGCACTACACTTCATTAGGTGCCTTGCTGGAGCATTCTGTGGCCTAAAACGGACTTTGAAAACTGCAGGTACCTCTCTGGACATACTGTAGGAGCACCATGATTAAAATAACCAGGGGTCCGCAGAGAGTCAGACCCACCTGTAGCCCTTTCAGCTTGTCTTCTGAAAAAGAAAGATTGGAAGGATTATGAACACTTGGATCTTCTGTTTGAGTGCAAGAGGATCCAGCTCTTTTAGTCTGTCACAGTAGGACGTTCTTTTAAGCCCCAGGAATATACCTGGTCTGTCTTCTCCAAAAAAACCTCCTGATCTGGACCAGAAAATCAATATTTTGTTAGTTTTATGTGTTTTTAACAAGAACACAAAGTACCCTTTTTACATTACCATGTAACCAGTAGAAGTAAGGTTTTCAGATTAAATTTTGCTTTCATCTCCCATCTTCAGACTACACCAAAATGAAGAACAAGTTGGTTTTGAAATAATCCTACTTTTATCATTGCAAATCATCTGATCATTATGAAAGATTAAATATTCCTTTTATCTCCTGGTGCATTTTTAATCTTTGAAGTTTCTTTTACTATTTGTATTAGATGTTCAGCATAGCTATTTAGAATGCATTATTATACAGTTTGACTTTATTTATCTTGACAGCATGATTTATATCTTGTGTTTTCTGTTCTGACATTTGCTTTTTTGGATTGTGAACAGTCTGCTGGAATAAGCTGTCTTTTTCATTGTGTGTTTACATATTTTAGTAGAGATTCCTGAAATCCCTGTCATTTGTTCATATCAGTGCACTGAATGCAACAACTGCTTTAATGTTGATCATCAATAGCACACATAAAGCACAGTGATTAATGTTACATTTATTTGGAACCTGTGTAATCAAAGTAAACAGAGGCTCATTATTGTACAGTTTCTCTTTGGTTTTTCAATTGCTGTAATTATGTGGAGAAGTAAAACTGAATTATACCAACAAAAGAGCTACACTGGTTTTCAAAATTATTTTTTTTTGAGAGTACCACATTTGGTGGGCATACTGTAAATGTTGCTCATGATCAGTCCTCTGTTATGTTCACGGTATGAACATGGTACTGTGTTGCACTTTTCTTTTCACAAGAAATAGCATGGCATTCCTTTAATTCACCTGTTGTATAGCAGATGTGAGAGAAGGCAGAGAGTGGTAACTAGGCAGAGACAGTCTCTACAGAACTCTACATTCAGTACTGGGCATAAGGTTTTAAAACAATCCACATCCATTCAGTGTAGAAAGATTTTCCTAATAATGTACAGTAAGTGCATATTAGAGTTTAAAAGAAGTTCTGTTAGGAGCATGGCTGTCCTTTTATCAGTTTGTGCTGATGTCTGTTTAGTATGCAGCGCAGACCACCTTAATAGGGGTGGTATTTTGAGACTTCATGCTGATTGAACTCCAGCACTGGTATAATCAAATAAGAACATTTATACTAGCCATTTACAACCTGGAACTGCAGCTGGACGTAATTAACAATTAAAAGGAACACTGGATTAAAAATATATAACATATATACTGTATATGCTTTATTGTAATGAGCCTTTTAAAATCTCTACCTTCACGCTTGCCATTTCAATCAGTAACCATGGCAAGAATAGCTAAAAATAAACTAAAAACAAACAGGAAAATACTTATTCACTTAATCAGTAGAGAAGTTCAATGTTAGGTGCATTCTTTTGTCACAGAATTGGGACTGGAACCAGGGTCAGATTAATAGTCTTCATGTTTGGAAGACAGATATGGTTTGTTTGTGACCTATGATTCATTCTGTCTTCTTTCGAAATGCTGTTATTGCTTAAATGTTCTGTCCTTTCTTATTTCAGTCAACTATATTTAGAATTTGGTGTCACCT